TTGGCCTGGTTAAATAAAGGTTAATAAATATATAAAATATTTGGCATTTTACAGATTGCATACTTTATTTTGGAGGTAAGTAAAATATTTTAGCTTGTTCGTACATAATGCAAACAGTTCAGCTGGAACAGATGAAAAGCTCACAGAAATGTTGGTGTATGATTCAAAATCCTCTGACTGTATTTTTATACATCCTGCAGCACACTGCACCTGCTCATTAGTGTTTTCCATTCCACCTACAAGTTAACTATGCTAGTTTTTTCATTTAAAAGCCACCTGCATTAAAACGAAGTGGAATAAGAGGAATGTGTCAGTGTTTGGAGCTGTATAATAGTGGGCTATAGAGAAAATGTGGGGCCAATTATTTTGTTGCTGGATAAAAAGTGTGCACAGAGAACAAGCTGTCCTCATTCCCTTTTGACAAAGCTGTCTAGCCTTGAAAGGAGCAGGTTGTACTCAGAGTTGGACTTGTGTTCGTTTCTCAGACTGTAGACTCTTTCCTTTTCCTGAAAGGGTTCTGTTTGATGTAATTTGTTTAAGTAAGACCTTCTGGGTGCTCGATGTGCTTTGAGCCATGCAACATGAAATATCCTCCATCCATCCATTATCTTTCCCTGCTTCTTCCTTTTTGGGTCACTGGGGTCACTGGTACCTATATCCAGCCACCACTATGTGAGAGGTGGGGGACACCCTGGACAGGTCTCCAGTCCATCACAGGGACACATAGAGACAAACAAAACAAACAACCATTCACTCTCTCACTCACACCTAGAGACAATTTAGAGTTACCAATCAGCCTAACATGCATGTTTTAGGTCTGTGGGAGGAAACTGGACCCATAGAAAACCCACACATGCACGGAGAGAACATGTGAACTCCACCCAGAAGGACCCCCGGCCAGGATTTGAGCGGGGGCAACTTGTTCACCGAGAGGCAGCAGCTCTACCAACTGTGCCACCGTGCTGCCCACATTTATTTATTCATATTTTAATGATTATTAATTTAATATTTTTGGACAAATTACATTTATTAAGAGCTATTATCTGTTGCATTTGTGTGTGTTTAAAGTAAGATGTAAACTTAAGTACAAAGCCTTTACGATTTTTTCTTTATTTTTTTAGAAGGGAGTGTGTGTGTGTGTGTTGGGGGGGGCTCTTGTAAAAGCCCATTTTGGCTTTTTATGACCTCTCCTGCACATTTTGTTTTAAATCTTTACCTTTATGTGTGTTGTTTCATTTTTTGTGAAAAATTCTAAATAAACAAATAAATAAATAAATAAGCAGTGCTGGGATAAGCTAAAAAAATTGAAGTCCATTTATAGAGCGATTAAAGACCACAACAGGTGGACTGGCTCTAACAATGACCAGTTACTATATCGCCCCCACAGAGTGGGGAAACAAGTCTCTATGGTGAGTCACCTACACCTGAGAAGAACAGATAAGATGAGTGGAGTGGACGTATCACTGATAAAGCAACTTTGGTCTTACTCTCTTTCAGCTCTGGCTCGTCATTCTCCAGTCTGTTGCTTTTTTTGTCTTTCTTGTAATGTTTGTAATCTTAGTCATTTTGAATGCTGTTTTTTTCTTGACAAATAAATCTTTTCAAGTTCAAGTAGGTTTTATTGTCATTTCATTACATGTAGTACATGAGGTGGAACAAAATGATGTACACAGGGTCCCAGTTACATCCAACAACAGCAAAAATATAAAGTGTAAAAAGAAACAGTGTACAAGGATCTATGATATAAACTAAGAATACGCTAAAAACTAATAGTGTAAAACAATATGCTGAACAACAGCAGCACGAACATGAGTCTGTGTGAGTAGATGAGTACGAATGAATACAGCAACATGAAATGATCAGCAGCATGAGATCAGCAGCACATGTCACTAATCAAGTGGCAGCAGTGATTTTTTTTAATTTTCACAGTGATTATTCTGGTTAGAGATTCATGAATCTAACAGCCTCAGGGTAGAAGCTGTTCCTCAGTCTAGTGGTTCTACACTTAATGCTCCTTAACCTCCTTCCTGAGGGGAGTGGGGCAAAAAGTGTGTGTGCTGGGTGAGTGGGGTCCTTCATGATGCAGGTGGCCCTCTTCCTGCATCTGGAGGTGTAGATGTCTGTGATGGTGGTGAGACTGACTCCAACATCTTCTGTGCAGCCTTCACCACTCTCTGCAAAGCTTTTCTTTCTGCAGCTGTGCAGCCTCCATGCCACACGTTGATGCTGGAGCACAGGATGCTCTCCACTGCACACCTGTAGAAGGAGGTGAGGACTGAGCTTTCTAAACACTTCCTTTTAAAGGCTTTCGTGAGCTCCTTGTGTCTTGATTACATTTTTCTTTGTTTTTGTTGAGAATTGTCAACAGTCATGAAATTGAGGTTATTTTACGATTCGTTATTTTATTAATCCAATAAAAAACAGTCCATTTTGAAGAGAAAAGATTTTGCCACATCACAGAACAGAATTTTGTCAAAGAAATATAAAATATTAAAATACAATAATTATTATAATGGAAGTAAATTGTATTGCTGGTTTTATTTGATTAGTTTTTTGCCCTCTAATCTACACAACAATAATTATGTTGTCAGTTTTATAAATAAAAGTTCAGCAGGATATTGTCAAGGAAAAAATTACGTTCATGGTAATTATGCTCTTTAAATGCAACAAATGTGTCATTTTTAAACTTAATGCATTATTTATTTCAAGCATTGTGATTAGGCCTCCTGTACTGATAAAGAAATAGTGATTATGATTTTGGAAAACTCCTGTTTCCTCCCACACACCAAAAACATGCATGTTAGGCTGATTGGTAACTCTAAATTGTCTCTAGGTGTGAGTGAGAGAGTGAATGATTGTTTGTCTCGTTTGTCTCTATGTGGCCCTGTGATGGACTGGAGACCTGTCCAGAGTGTCCCCTGCCCCTCGCACAGTGATTACTGGACCTGGGCACCAGTGACCCCTGCGACCCAAAAAGGAAGAAGCGGGTAAAAGATGCTGGATGGATGGATGGATGGATGGATGATCTAACATACGGTTTGGAAATCTCAGGGGCGATTCTAGAATCTGACCTCTAGGGGTGCTGCTTAGCCCCCAGTTCTGACAATGTCTCATGACTTAAATAATGCAGTGGCCACTGGCGTCAGAAGAAGCATTTGTAATGTGTGTGTGTGTGTGTGTGTGTGTGTGTGTGTGGGGGGGGGGGGCACACTAGTGTGTGTGGGTGGGTGGGGGGGCATCGTCCCCCATTAATTTTTGAATAAAGTGGGTGGGGGGGCATCGTCCTCCATTAATTTTTTAATAAAGTAGATGTAATTCCCTGCATTCTGGTGTATTTTAATGGGTTATTGCGTTATTGCGGTGCACAATACAGATGCGCTAGCTAAGATACTACAGATGTAGCACTCTGTTTTACATTACACAGCATTCAAGTAGGCTTATTGTCATTTCACCACATGTGGCACATGAGGTGGACCAAAATTATGTACACAGGGTCCCAGTTACATCCAAAAATAGCAAAAATTAAAGTGTAAAAAACCCCCAGTAAATAAGGATCTAAGATATACACTGAACATTAATAATGCAAAACAATACGGCGTAACAACAGCAACCCGAACATGAGTCTGTGGTGAGCTGATGGGTATGAATGTGTAGTGAGTCACGTGGGTACGTGCCACTAGTTGTAGTATGACAATA